GCGTCTGGGCCCAGCTTAGAGGTGGCGGGGGTGGGAGTGGGAGAATGCCTGTACCAACTCCACCACTCTTGGGTCTGGGCCTCTTCCCCACTCACTACTTTCTCTCTTCCTGGGACCTGTGCAGAACCTGTGGTTTGCCAACCCTGGAGGCAGCAACAGCATGCCCAGTCAGAGCCGCAGCTCTGTGCAGCGCACCCACTCGCTCCCGGTCCACTCGTCACCCCAGGCCATTCTCATGTTCCCTCCAGGTGAGGTGCCCCACCCTTGGGACTCTGCCTGGCCAACACCCTCAGCTGACTTTTCCCTTCTCTCCTGGGTCTCATATCCACTGTTCCTTACAGACTGCTTGGGTACCTCTCCCCATACCTGGCACCACTCTTCCCCATCTCCCCCAATTGTGAGGGGTTGTTTTCCTCCTCCTCTTCAATTTTATCTCTCAGGTCTTGCCCCCACCCCTCTGAATCATCTTCTCTCACCCCTTACACCCATCCCATCCCATGTTTCTCACCCTATGTCATAATCTTAGTGTCCGTGTTGGTCTCTGTCATCATCTCTTTCTTTACAGAATCATTGAATCCTCAATTTAGAAGGGGTTGAGGGGATGGGACAGTCAAAGTGTGAGATTTCTGTGGAGGGGAGTCCTGCCCATCAGCCTACTGGCATTCTTTCAGACGCCAGGTAACCACACGGGAACCAGTGGACTTCACCTCTTAGATGAGGTTCTACACAAACGGTGTTTGAAGTGAGAGGGCTGTTTGACCTCTGCTCACAGGCCATCCTAGAGATGGGAGATGAGAAGTTGGGCCAGGTTCAGGCGCAGTAACTCACGCCTGTAATCTCAGCACTTTCGGGAGGCTGAGGCAAGTAGAGCGGTTTGAGGCCAGCCTGGGCAACGTGGCAAAACCCGATCTCTGAAAAATTAAAAAAAAAAACAGAAATTATCTGAGCATGGTGGTGCACACCTATAGTCCCAGCTACTTGAGAGGCTGAGGCAAGAGGATCGCTTGAGCCCAGGAGGTCAAGGCTGCAGTGAGCAGAGATCGTGTCACTGAACCACAGCCCGGGCGACAGTGAGACCCCATCTCAAAATTAAAAGAAGCTGGGCCAAGCGGGCGAAAGGAAGATAAAGAGATTTGCTAGCCACAGGTCCCTGCCCTGCTCAACAAGTGAGGGGTTGACTCCTCCACCCAGTGCTGGGCACTGGGGCTACAAAGACAGATAAGGCTGGTCTGGAATGGGCTGACTCTGGAGACAGCCTGGATTTGCAGAATTCATGTTATAAACTGCCAGGTCAGTTGGGAGTCTTTCTTAATGAGGTTTTGTGGGCAGCCATCTGTTGAGGCCACGGGAACCCATCCATCATGTTCATCCTAGCACAGGACTTGGCACACAGTAGGCATCTGTAAATGATGTTAAACAAGCAGGTGGATGAACTGCAGGAATGAACAAGAACCACTCTCTTTACCAGTATGCTATGTGCCAGGCTTTCAGACAACTCTCCTGCGCTGTGAATCCTCCCAACTGTATGAGACAGAAATGTCTTACCCAAGTTCAAAAAAATTTTTTTTTAAGGAGAGACATTTGGGTGATCTAATACGACATGAGCTCAAGGTTCAGAGGGGATGATGATGAGAGGTGAGGGTGGAGATGGAAGCTGGGTCTTCTAAACCCAGGTAAACAGCTCAGACTTTGTCCTGATGGCAGTGAGGAGTCAGGGAAGGGTTTAAGCAGTGTCGGGGGGATCAGGTCTGCCTAGGGAGGTGGGTAGTTTCCCAGGTACCAGAATAGGAGGCCCTTTTACCAAGTGTGGTTTGAGGACAAGTCCCATGGTTGTCCTGCTTTGCTCCACCTGCCCGGCCTGCCTGGATCAAATCCTGCCCAGAGGAGCATGTCCAAGTGGGGACAGGAAGGGTTTTAATTTAGCTTTTGCACCAAGTACAGAGCAGGTCTTCAGTCAGGAAGCCTCAGGGGGCTGCCCAGTGTCCAGGGCAGATGCCCAGACTGTGCCCAAGGCAGTGTGCAGTCTCTGTCTAAAGTAGTCACAGCAGGCTGTGTGTGGCCTCCAAGAGCTCCTTCAGTTTCACTTCTGCCGTCTGCAAGTCAGGCTTTTTCTTTGTCACCAAGCCTCTGCCATTGCCATTGTCTCCTCTGCCAGCTGTGCGACACACTCACCCTTCTCTCTGTCCACCTCTGCCTCTTCCTTTTTCCCCTCCATCTCTGTCTCCCACCATCTCTCTTTCTCCCCCTCCATCTCTCTCCCTCTCCATCTCTTTCTCTCCCCTCCATCTCTCTTTCTCCCTTCCCATACCAGCATCCTTTGTCATCCCAACTCTCTTCTTCACCCGAGTCCAGTCTGTCCTCACCACCTCCATTCTCCTCTCTCCCACCCAGACTGCCCGGTCCCTGGGCCTGACCTGGAGATCAATCCCACTCTGGAGTCTCTGTGTCTGAGCATGACAGAACACGCCTTGGGTGGTGAGCATTTCCTCTATCCCTGACCCAGCTCCCACCTACCCAGCGTCTCTGCCTCTGAACTGAGCAACTCAGAGTCATCCTGAGGGGTCCCCCGGGAGGCCAGACTCCAGGGAGGGCCTGACCGGGATGACAGGCTACCTGAGTGCCTTTTCTTGGGCCTCCATCCAGCTCCTGATCTTCCTCCCTTCCTCCCTTTCTTACCACAGATGGGACAGACAAAACCTCCACCATCTGACAGGACCCACAGCCCAGCGCACCCATAGGCTCCCTGGGCGGCGGGCGGGGGCCAACCCCCAACGGGCTTCTCCGCAACAGCGAGAGGGTGGGCTGGCTCAGCTATCTATTCTAATATTTTTCTACTCTCTCACCCTTTTAACTTTTGTTTAACATTGGCACATGCCTTGCACACTCCCAGGCCCGTCGAGGGATCTTTGCTGAGGCCCGGGGAGTTGGGGGCAGTCAGGATAAAGGGGCAGGGACTGGCCAGACTGCCTGCCTCTCTCCTTCCCTTCCTCATCCCCACCTGGCCCCATCCCACCCCTGCCTCCTCCAGACCGCTGACCACCTGCCTCTCCCCAAGGGAGCAGACTCCCCAGAGACAGACTGACCCACTACCTTGTGGAGCCTGCTCAGAAACATTTGACATTTGGGGCGACATGAGCAGGGCAGAGAACCTGCCCTCCAGAATGTTATTCAGAGGAGCTGGGGAGAAAGAAGGGGAGCAAGGAGAGGAAGCCCTCTCTTGTCTCCACCTTCTTCCCCTTCACCATTCCCCACATTCTCCCAGGACAGGAGCCACCTTCCTCTCTCACCTCCCCTGGCCCTGTTCACGAGAGGTTCTCTATGATTAATTTCTTAGGCCTATTTAAGATACATATTTATATAGTTCTTAACGGTTTTTCTCTGATCATTCCCTCTCATTTTTAGAATCCCCTGGCTTCTCTCTGAGCCAAGACAGTGGTAGGGGGAACCTGAACTTTATGAGGGGAGAGGGCAGAGCCCCCTCCTCCAGACCCCCAAGCTCTAACCCATTTTCCTCCAGCCCTGGCTCCCCAGATAAAGAGGTTGGAGGTGGGCAGCCAGGGCCAGTGAGGTCAGGAAGTCTGTTGCCTTAACGTCCCCTTCCCCATGAATACATACCCTTCTCCGCTCCCAGGTCTGGTTGGTGAGACTCGGGAGTCAGGAATAAGGGAAAGGGGATTGTTTGGTTTTTGGGTTTTTCCCCAAGCCCCTCCCTTTTCTTTTAGCCTTTCCTCCTCCCCCATTATGTCATGACCTCACTTAAGTGAAACACTATATCATAACCCAGAGATTCGTTCCAGTCCCAGAGTCTGACAGACCGTCTGGTCCCTATTCCTAATGAGGGGTTGTGTTGGGGCCCAGGTGGTGGGAGGGGATTTGGGGGTTCAGACTACGGGGAAGCCAGGGTCTCCCTCTTCAACACCCTCCTCCCTCTCAACCCACCCTCCCCACTGGGACATTCTCAAGCTTTTCACACCGAAAAGGAAAAAAAAATGTTATTTTTAGATACATTTTATGAATAACTTTTGTTATGAATATGGCTGGTAACCATTGTGTATGTTATTAAAGATACAAAATGTTGGGAAAAAAACAAAAAAACCAAAAAAAAAAAATTTTAAAACCACCACCCTCCCTGCACTATCACCCCATTCCCCAGACCTTCTTGCCCCCTCCCTCCTGGTCTGTGGACCTCCCTCTGCTCTGAGCCCAGGGAGGGGGAAGAAGCCAGGGGGTAGGGTGGCCCTGGGAACCTGCCTCTGGGTCCCCACTTCCTCTCCCAGTGCCGGGCTGGGTGGGGTGTCAGGTTTATTTATGTACCTCTTGCACACTCATCAACCTATGCAAGTCCCCCACCCCGGCCCTCCATGTTTCTGTGCCTTTGCTCATCCCCTCAATCTCCCAGGGCTTCTCCAGTCCCCCTCCCACTAGCTGCAGGAAGTGGGATGGAATCAGCAGGGTGTCCCTCTCATGGGACCCTCCCCTCTCCCCAGCCTGTCCTGTCTTGTTCACTCTCCATCAGGGTGAGCTGACTGTGCCTGGCACTGGGAGGTGGTGAGGGACACCGTCTCACACACACAGGGAGGCAAGAGCTGCCCCCCACCCCACCTGACAGCAGAGTGTGCAGGACGCAGGCGGCCCCACTCTGATGGGCAGGACTGACACTCTCCCACTCCAGTCCCCTCCCCAGGCCCTACTCCATGATTTCGTCCTCCCTACCCACTTACGTCCCCAGCCCCACTGGCAGAATCAGCTTTGAGTAACTGTACAGTTTTTCTCGCTGTTGGAGAAGACTTATTTGTTGGAGTTTCACTTGTTTAATGGTCTGGGCTTATTTTGGAAAAAAAAAAAAAAAAATGAATTCTGACCTTTGTTGTGCTACATTTTGTGGGAAACCATTGGCCTTGCCTCTGGCCTGTGTTTCTAAGCCTCAAGCTGAGGTCTTGGAGCACCTGGGGGTTAGGGGGAGGTGTGCCCTGGGCTGAAAGATGAGGTAGGGGCAGGGAGGGAAGTAAAGAGAAATTGGCTTTATTAACAGCAAAGGTTTAGGGGTGGGGGACAAACAAGTGAAAGGCTCACAGACCACTAGAAAAGTGCCTTCCTGCTCATAATAGTGGTGTCTGAACCAGCCCTGAATGCCCTGGGACTCAGTCACTGTCACTGTCAGCTTCACTGGAATCAGAAGCTGCAGCTTCACTGCCATCCTCCTGGGCTGAGTGCTCGCTGCCGCTGGGGAAGGGACTGGCGCTGCGGCTGCGACTCCGCTGGCCACCCCCATCACTGCCGCTGTCCGAATCATTGTCACTGCCACCTTGGGCCTGTCCTCTGTCCTCATCATCAGAGTCGGCATCATCCTCTGAATCAGCATCACTGCCAAAGATCTCTTCTTTGTCACGGGCAGCCCGGGCCTCATCCTCGCTGCTCTCATCCTCGCCACTGCCACTCTTGTCACTGGCCTCATCCCTGTCACCTTCTTCTCGTTCACTCTCGCTGCCCGAGCGCTCATCCTCACTGCCTTCCTTCTCACTGCTGCTGCCTTTCTCCTGCTCCTCATCTGGAAGGGAATGGAAAGGGTGAGACCCACTTTTCCACCCTCTCAGAGCTCCCAGAGTCTGACCTGTTCAGATTTACCTGAGCCCCCAGCTTCTTTCTCTTCTGTCTCCATCTCCTCTTCCTCTTCCTCCTCTGGTTCGTGGTTTTCTAGCTGGGCCTTCCGTGCCTCCTGGAAGCAGCAAGGTTGGAATGAGGGAAAGGAGGGTGTTCTGTTGGGTTTTTCTCCCCCTCCTCACCTACAACCACTGCCCTCCCTGCCATGTATGCCCTGGGCCAGTGGTGCATGTTACCTGGGCTTCTAATTCCTTCTCGTTCATGTCCCGATGTTTGACCACAAGCAGGGCGTTGGTGCCTGACTGAACCCCAGCCTTGGCCCGGCGCTTACTAAGGCGGACCCTGCAGGTGAATTTGGGGGAGAGAAGTGGAAGATGCAGTTAAAAGACATACCTCCCACTCCCCTCCACCGCCTCCGCTGTGAAGAGTCCGGTCTGACTTGGTTCCCCATTGATACTTGGCTCAGAGCAAATGAGAATAAATACAGATTGAATAAGGGCAACTAAGCTCAAAGTAGTGAGGGCAAGGGAGAGGACGGATGGCTCCCATGGCACCAGTTTGGTTGCCCCACACCCTGTGTGTGGGGGGTGTGTTATATGGTCTATTTACATAAATACAGGCACAGGCCACTTAGGGATACATCCTGTTAATACATCATGTGAGCATCATACAATGCACTTGTACAAACATAGTACAATCAACTACATACCTAGGCTGTAATGGTGTAGCCTGTTGCTCCTAGGCTACAAAGCTGTATGGCATGTGACTGTACTGAATACTGCAGGCAGTTACAACACAATGGTAAGTATTTATGTATCTAAACTTAGAAAAGGAACAGCAAAGGCCGGGCGCGGTGGCTCACGCCTGTAATCCTAGTACTTTGGGAGGCCGAGGTGGGTGGATCACCTGAGGTCAGGAGTTCAAGACCAGCCTGGCCATCATGGTGAAACCCCATCTATTAAAAGAAAAAAAAAAAGGAAAAAGAAAAGGTATAGTAAAGATACGGTATTCTATCTTGAGAGATCACCCATAAGCAGTCCATTGTTGACAGAAACGTGCAGTGCATGACTGTATATGTCAATTAGTTACCAGCACTCTGAGAAACGAAGAAATTTCAAATCATCTGGATTTGGTTCTTTTGGAAAGTAGGAATTTCTGGCCCCACAGCATAGCCACAGTAGGCTGGAAGTGAATAATGCTCTCCATGGTTGCCCAGAGCTCCAGGTCACTCAGACTCTACCAGACCACTGCTCTTTTACATTTCCTGCCTGGCCTATGGGATCAGAAATTGTGATCTCTGCTTTAAAGAGAAACTCAAGCCTTCCCAACTCTAAACCAGAGGCATTGGCATAGCAGTAAATTTTCAGCCATCAGGGAAGTTTTGGGGTCACATTTTTGAACATGGGTATTAAGCATTTCATTTAAAACATTCATGCTGATTTTATGTATCACTCCATACTTCGGCAGTGTTTACTTTCATGTGAAGTCTGTTACTAATAACTGAGAAATCTGTCCCTCTACCCCACCCAAAATCTCTAAATTCTCCTGCATTAAGATTTTCTTTCTGGCCAGGTGCAGTGGCTTTTTTTTTTTTTTTTTCCCCAACATAAGCCTTTTTAATTTGAAGTGTAGC